TTTACATATTGAGAACGTGGTTATTGGGTTTAAATAATATACTACAAATTCAAATGCATATGCAAAAGCTTCTAGATATCTGACTTTTATTTCGATTGGACAACAGTGTTGTTCCACTATGCCTACTATACCGAATGGTTAAAAAATGCACACATAGAGATAAGAAAAGTCAAAGGTATTCAGTTACAAGTGTATATTTTTGTTTTCATGAAAAACATTTTGAAATTCACTCGACGAGCAGCATGCTTGGTCGTTTAGTCAACATAAACTTGCTTAATGTCACCAGTTTTGCTATAAAAACTTCTGTGAATTGGAAAAGAAAATAAAGATATCATGCAGAAGGGTGACGGATAGGGGTGAAACCTGATCCCCATCATATTGTCAATAATCTTAAATAAATACAATGGACGAAGAGGACTTGGTTTTTCTCAGGTAGCAGAGTTTCTTATAAAAACAAACTTAACTGGTAAGAACACGTTAGTTACATTGTATCATTTTGTAAGCAAGTTCTAAGCGATGGGACCACACACGTAACGACTAAATGAAACGAACCTAACTACATGTAGCGATTGTGGAGGTCTAGAGAAAATGTCTCTTAACTTTCGGAGCCACCTTTATACACGATACTTGTCGGGTAAACTGTGAAAAGGACACTGAGTTGTTATTTCGACCTGAAGGGTCCTCAATCTTACATTCCTACTTCAATTCATTCAAAATAGATTTATTTATAGACTCCGTACAGCGCCTGATGTAGTTCATTGACGTCATGCAAGGGCCATATGAATATGATATCATAACATGACCAACTAGAGACCGACTACTCCTGACAGTTTTCTGTGAGCAGGGCCTAGTTTCAAACTCATTAGGTAATCGGAAATACACAACTATTAACTCAGCAAAGTTTAAGTGCGTGAGTCGTACCCTGAAGTTTTCAATAGTAGTTTAACCAGAATCAAGTTTTCGATTATGAAAGGTTTAGAAGGACATTTTATATAACAGCCTGTTGTAATCCCATCAGGGCGACCTGTATATTTTTCACGTCAACCCATCCAGCTTGCATTACTGAAAGGGGCAAACTGTATTGTAAAATACGAAGGTACCAGTGCTATTTCGACCTACCCGAACCCCAGTTCTAGTGTGTAAGCGTCATCCTGCACGAGATAGAATCTTACTCCAACTCATTCCGTCATTAATCTAAAGTTGGTACAATGCTTTCTTCCCCTTTACGGCATTAATCGTGGACATTGAGTGCTGTGACCAACGCAAAAAAAAAAACACCAAAAAACCAACAATCCTTTGCCAAAGCTTCATAATACTTCCTTATACAGATCAACGAGACCCAAGATCTAACAGCCCCGTGTCCCGAACCGCAGTGATTTTATTTCACGCTATATCTAATGTCAGGTAAAAATGAATGAAGAGGTGCAGGGAACAAATAAACTATTAGTACAAGTTTTACACGTGGTCTCACACCAACTAATCCATGATAAAACATACCCAGATCAATGCTGGCCTGAAACCATAAAAAACTGTTGATAGACGTGATAGTTGTAGCAAATGAGTGTCTAATGAACTTCAAAATATTCCCCTTTCGTTTGTTTACGTTTTTATTTTCCTCGCTTCACACCTAGATCCTTATTTCTGCACCTTTCAAGATCAATCCCGGTATTTTCCTGGGAAAATATGACCACGAAAGATCCCAAAGAGACCTACGTGAAGATAGAATAGTACATTTTGTGTGAATAAGCGGGTTTGATATTGGTGGTCCACTCTATTCCCATCAAATGAATTTTATGCACATAGAATAAAATTTACCATGTATAGTTGATCCAGTGTACTGGTGAAAGTACAGTCTTGGTCGGATAGTTCTGCAAATGGCATTTTTGTTTTCCAGAAAGAATTTTAAACAAAATGCATCAACGCTGATAATACCCTTCCAGGGAAGATACACAAGTATAGAAGGCACTAGTAAACGACCCCAATATTGCATAATAGAATCTCACATCTTGGTATTTGGACCTTTATCAACAACTTCATCTGGAAGGTCTTCGATGGTGGTACGTTATAGGATATAACCAAACACGTACGACCTGTTTTTTTTAACTGAGAAAAACACAAAATTATGATTTTTAAAATAGGAATTTATTCTTTAACAATATTTTTTCATATTATCAGCATATTGAGACCATAAATAAAACGATAGCCTCGACATTTTCTAAATAACAACTAAACTTAAATATATACATGTACATTAACATTATACTATACATACATATATTACAATGATATACAGCTTTGGAATGCTAGCACAATAATAAGCGCAATTTAAAAATCTATAGGTTTAATTAGCTTGCAATTTGAACTAAAAATCGAACCTACAATTCCTTAAAGCATAAAAACATTTCAATTTAAATCTTAATATCCAGACTTGAGGTATTTTGCCATAATTCTGGTATTTTTGGCATACACAAATCATCTATTTTCGGCTTTCAGTAACCGGATCGTTAATATCATAGCAATAAAGAATAAGACTAAAACGCTTTGTTTTATATTTAGCGACTTTAAATGAGGTAAAATGACAAATTCCTGAAACAATATATTAGTTTTGGCAAAAATTGTAAAAACTGCAAAGCGTTATTAGAAATTTCAATCATTTGACAATATGTTAGCGATAGTAAAATATATTTTGAATCCAGAATGCACACACTGTGAAAATTATTGACAAAAAATATACACAAATTCATGAATATTGTTTATTTGAAAATCAAAACAATGCGTTCATGGTATGAGAGATCTAACAAAATTTAACAAAAGGAATATTGAATTTGTGTCTAACTCAGACTAGTATATTTCCAGCATATCATATATTTCTAAGATAATCTTTGATTCTAACATTGAACTAACGGCAGTCTTGTTGATCAAGTGTAGCTAGTGAAATACACACTGGACAATTTGTGTGGTAGTTTAAAGTATAACACAGGGCTACTAACTGTTCTGTTTACCTTGAAACACCTGTGTCAACTGACTAACTTTTTACCTGGCTAACACTCTGCCTGTGATATTACTACCTCTGATACAAGCCGAGCTGATACATTCCCGTTAACCCTTGTACGACCAAACATCCTCCCACACCTTCTCATTAAAATAAAGATTTACATTATCAAAAGCTGAGATTCTTTAGATTATTGCTTATTGTAAAAAAATCTAAAATTCATTGCTCATTTAAATGATTTGGCAAAAAATTGAAAAAATATCAAGACTCGTTTGCATTAAGGAGAATGTTTTCAAATTCATAAAATACATGCATTTAACTTTGCTATACGAAAAGCGAGATTTTGTTATTGCTTTGTTTTGCACAATATTAAATTTGCTATAGTTTGCGTTTTCCGAGCATCCACTCTCTCATTGCTTATTCATTTTTTATATACATTTTTTAATTCACTTCAAATTTCAGAAAAGAATTAATAAGACAAAAAAAAATCATAATTGATTTGAGATTCTGCTAAGATCTTAGGAATTCTAGATAAATGATAATGAGATTTCTTCCTCCAATGAGTTATAAATAAAGAATAATAACATTTCTCTATACTCGGTGAATATCGCTTATGACGTAATTTGGACAGCAATCCAAAAAACGCGGTCTATTGCAAAATTATCAATGGATATTACAATTAGTCTATAGGCGTCTTTGGGAAGCAATGATTTCATTTGCTTTGACTTCAAGTATATAAACATCAAAGTTCTAACAATAATACAAGTTATTTCACTCAAAATTGACCAGTGGTTCAAATTTTCACAGTAGTTTATGCATTCGAATATAAATACTATAGAACTATACGACAAAACTAAGCCAGATATTTTGGACTGCGAAGATGTGAACACGAAAACATGTCTCTGCAATCAAGGGTTAAACTGGATTGATAATTTCAAATTCTTGGACGTTCATTCAGTAACTTATGCCCTTAGTTCGTGTCTTAACCTCGTTTAGCCTTCTGCTCTAATTTCACACCTGCATTTTCCGCTCTTTATGACAGAAGAGCTTTAAAAGGGGCGTTACTCATACATGATAGAATGTTCGAGACAAATTCAGTGTGTTTGTATTCTCCCGTACATTTCCTTAACTAAAACTTTGCAAAGTAGAAAGACTTTAAAGATAATTTAGCTAACATTTTGTTTAATATATATACAAGAAAAGACATATACACAACAATCATAAGTTAAGAAGCAAGTTTCACTGTCCCAGCCAGAAGCTAAAAGTTTTGCTGAATGGTAGCTTAACTTCATACAGAGCATTCATTTATAACATCTCCAGCATAATTTGCTACCATTCCATTTAAAGCTTAAGATATAAAATGTGAACTATGATTAACGTTCGTATTTGTAAACAATGTCTTTGAACTAGTTTCTGAATTACGATTGGGAAATCTTTGCTATTTATTTAGTCACTTCCGGTTCCCATCGGAGGACCACCGCATGGGTTCATCCGTCACATTTCATCTGTTTAACATTCATTTGAACCTTTCCTCCATTTTCGCAATTTTAAATATTTCCAATACGTTCTTGCCGACCTTTTCAACTAAATAAAACATTTTCCTTAACTATCTCTAATTTGTCTGGTCACGTCGTAATATTTCGTCTCTGGATACATATATTTGGTTACGTATTTTATTACGGTAGACAATTTGAATGAATCACCGACAGCATTGGAGACAGACGATATTAAACTGTCCTCTCAACACAACACACCTTGTCAATTCGCCTGCCATTTCAGTAATAAAGGAATAATGAGTAGAAATTGACTGTAGTTGATATGTTTTTTTAGTTCGAGTATAAATGGATCGTGGTGAGGGGTTAAATGGTGACATTAACTGCCATCATCGTCTCTTTTCAGCCACCATTTTATCATCTCAAAGGAAGCACTGATGCAAAACGCCCTGCAGTTTCTGTATCACAGTTTTAGTCAAGATAGGTTTGTTGTCACCTCAGGCGACGTTTCACGTTCATAATGGAGGCGGTGTTAAGGGACTCCAGTTCGTTCGAGCGCTATCACGTGCCGTACTGTAGGTAGAGATATCACAAGGATGTTCGTAAGAGGCCTGAGACACAACACTAGAAGCTGATGGGACGGGTGGGATACTCGTCACTGTCGTAGTGGATGATGGGAAGGAATAGGGTGCAGTGGTGCGGAGATAAGGCATTGCACAATTTTGATTTGGAGATAAATTTCCAACTGCACCGCTCATCCACATTCCATAATTGCCTTGACTACTGCTTGGATTGCTTGGTAACATGCTATGGCTACCAGCCGACATATGTGCCCAGTTTTCTGTTAGGTTTAACATTGGTAAATTCGAGCCCATATCCCGAGAGAAATTACCTGAAAAACATAAAAGTAAAAATCGATAAATTCTCATGTCTAACTAATCGTCATTTAATGTTCAACGATAACTACCCATAATTCTACTTAAAAATGGTGTCGAAATTGCCTGGAAGGACCACACGCAATGCCCGGATACACCTCAGCTGGAAAGGAGGGGGTGTTTTGTTGTGGATATTTTTCTCGTAGCATGAATGAATGAGGATAGAATGATAAAATAATGTTCCCAGATGAGCTGCAGGGGTTAAGTTCTGTCTCATTCATTCTATTGTGGTTCAAAATCAATGAAATTAATCAGGAGAAAAACATATTGATCGCCATTTTAATCATTAAACAATGATGACTAGTACAACTCATTTGATTTTATGTTGTTTGCTGAGGTTAGCATTTTACATTAATCAACCTTTCATTCAAACTGGTGCCGCACACAAAGAATGGCGGATATTTAAAATCGTATCAATTATCATACCTAGCGATCGTCATAATTTATCGCTGCAAGTAAGGCTCCCTGGGGATACACGCATACAGACTTTACAGGGATTCTGAGGAATAAACAACGTGACAGCAAGAACAATTCTGCTGACACAGACATTAATACTGTTTCCCTTTTTACACATACTAGAAGTTCTTCTAACGAAATGGCGAAGATATTGTGTTTGTCAATGCTGTTTTCAATGTTCTGTTATTTTGAAAATATAGAATTCCAGGGCCTCCATTATCTTTTATGGTCTCATAAATTAAAATTATTTTAAAATTACAAAAATATTTTTCCCTTGTTTGAAACAAATTTAGAACTATTGAGTTAGCACATAATCGCAACTTAATAAGGTTGTATATGAAATTTAATCCATCGGGTTTCATAATAATGAGCAATTAGTAACAGTCAATCGTGAGAAATTCAAACAAATAAAGTCGAGATTAATATTAACTTGTGAAAAACTCCATAGGTTGTGACATCGACCGACCGATACAAAATGTTACCAACTTGTAGCTACATCAACGCTTAGAATATTCAATCATTTAGAAACAAAGTAGTCAGTTTTTTAAAAACGTGTCAGAACGCCAAACGTAAGTCTCAAAATTGTTGGTAAGTGTTTCTGTACAGAACAAGTTCTGAATATTTACAGAGCCATATCGCGTCAGTAGAGTGACGTGACATTTACCGCGCCAAAGAGCACGTGATGATTCCCGCCACTCCGTAACGACCATGACGTGGTTAAACCTGTTCACGTCACGTAAAATGTTAACGGTGAAATGGTCAGGCAGACTTAGAGAGGTGGGAGACGAGAAAATCGCAAATTCTTTTGTTTTTTACAGTTTAAGTAAGAGTAACTGACTTTAAAGACGTATGAAATCCAGGTCTTGTTACTTATTGTTTCGTTTCATTATCAATCTACAGTTACACTTTTGTACAAACCAAAATGGCTGAATGGTTAATTCGAAGAAAGAATTTCAAATTTGTGAAAGAGGATTAAAAGTTTGTAATCCTATTGTTTCGTTTCGTGGTCCAATGTGAGCGATGGCGATCAATTTATATAGTGACCACTCACGACAATAGAAGTTGTGTTTCTATTTTAGTAAGCTATATTGTTGAAATTTGGCTTTTCAGTTTCTTACAGCTAGCCTACCTTTAGTCAAATTATATAGTGACGATTCGTTAAGTCAATAATAATAATACTAGTTCAATGCAATATATATTAAGTCTTTGATTGATAAGATTAATGGAGGTCAGAGAGATGGAAGTTTATATTCTATTGTATGCATATTGAGCTTATGAAATGAATAAAATTATACGTCAGCTAATCGGGGGTATAGCACAAAACGGATTTATTAAGCTAAAAGGGGCCGTGAAAAAAATCTTTTTATGATATATATGACTAGAAATTAGGATAAATAGGCCACTCGGACAGAAATGTGTCATTGAGTGTGGACATTGAACTGGTCATTTTAGGTAGATTAAATGAGGTATTTATGACACTGAGTTATTTTTAGACTGAAACAGTCACAGGTTTGTCTGAATGGTCAATATTTGTAAACAGGAGATTAAATTTCAAATATCTTGAGAATTTTGTTGAAAATGTACTCTCACATTATAACTCTCGACTTTTTACGTTTTGATTTTACAAATTTCGAATGATGAGGAGAATGAGAACCATTAATTAGCAATTGAAGCAAAAGTTGCACTGATTTTTCATTATTTCCCCATTTTTTGCCCAATCCTACCTTAGTCTCAGAAACGGGAAGTTAGTCAAGCCAATTAGTAATAGTTACCACAGCTAATCTGAGCCTTCAAAGTCATGAGTGTCCAGAATTATCCGTGTTTTAAAGTTAAAAAGAAGAGTCGTCTTTTCTTGAGACACTGTCATATATAGAAAAGACATCTTTAGAAATAGGAAAAGAAATTCTTAGCATGAGATATTTTTGAAGGAATGGTGCATTTGTACATTTCTAGTACTTCTGAAGACTATTTACATAATATATTCAGGACGCAGAAACCACCCAAAATGGCGCATCTGTCTCTTTAAGAGAGACTGCTTATACTACTAACCATTTAGATTACCGATGAAGAACAGAAAAATGCTGAATCTCATGATACGCGTACTTATTTTATGTCTACCACCTCGACGGCCTGTGACTTTCAGATAACGATTTGTATAAGTACACATGCAGTTTAGCCTTGAGATTTTTAAGTACTGATGCACCTGTTGCCATTTAAAAAGACTTTTCGGTCTGTAAATCTTGATTTTAAGTGTATAGGTACTTTTTACCTTGTGATTACTAACATTCAACTACCCGTGTTGCCATTTATTAAGAAAAGACGACTTACCTGGAGGTGATCGTCGTTGGTAAGGATGAGAATAAGGTGAGGGTCGTGGATTCCGTAATGAGAGTCGATCACAGCCATGAGGATTAGACAAACCGAGGGGGTTGGTGAATTGATGAGCTGGGGGTGGGACTAGAGCATGACTTCCTGGAGGTAAATACCATGTACCCGTTACTGAAAAGTACAACATACCATATTAAATACATAATTACAAACATATTATACCATGCAGACTTCTGAACTTATTCAGGTGTATTTAATGATTTAAGCAAGGCATTTGATACAATTGATTGAATTTCGACTCTTTTTCTATTCTAACATACCAGTTAAAATTTACTTCTAATTTGAGAACGATCCGTGATGGACATTAATTGTTTTGAACTAGTTGACACCTATTAAATGATTTCTGCAAGAAATATGATGTAATTCGATTTAGTCTAGTGGTTTGTTTTAATGATATGTAAGATCAATACATCACATATCGACTGATGTTTTGGTTCATGATTAACTTGTTAGTTCATAGACACTCTAAAGATCATTGTAATTTTGCTACTATAACGTTCAAAACGGTTCTGCATTTTATTTCAATACAATTATATATATTTCTGCTCGAGTTATGTTAATGTTTATGTGTTTCTAATCGGATTAATGTTTAATTTATGTTTCATATAATTGACAATATCATAAACATCTAACCTTAGTGCAATATATAAGCAATTTCGTGAAAATTAAACACATTTTTCCCATGATTTTTTTGAGCAAAAACATGTCTTCCCGAGGTTTAAAGCACAACTACAAAGACTTTTATTTCATTTTTATGTTGGATTTTTATTGAAACTTTTTTCTAACTTGTCGTAAATTCTAATGTTGTAACGCATATATAATATAATCGAGTTTTATGGCTAGAAATTTGTTTAAAATTTATGTCCCCTTTCGTGCCAGTAGATCGACTACGTTAATCCCTTTGGGTGATTTATTTTAATATATGCATGAATTTACATTATATTGCATGGCTCATTACAAGTGAACTGTGGGGAGTTTTAAATTGAGCGTACTGAGCGTCTGATTTTGGATTAATAGGATTAGATGTCTATTAAACTAGGATTAAATCTTGCTGAGTACTTTATATATATTTCAATATGCAATAGGAGTCTGATATTCAACTTTAAGGCTATTATAATACTTAGTGTCTACACTATTTGACGAGGTTTACATTTTCTATGGACATCAAAGTGAACAATATTTGACTTAGTTTATCCCTTGGTATTCCTTTATAATATTTCTTATGATTAATCGACATGATTACGCTCTAACGAAAGATGTCCTTTTTTGGTTCAGAGACTATACTGTTTTTATTTACCCCATGCTTTGCTTAAGCTTAGGCCAATGGCAACTACAGGCAGCACCATCTTGTAGTACTGATAAACTGATAGAATAAACCAACAAGCTACTTGGCCAACTGTTAACAGTCAAAGATTACAGAATGATCTAAGACTTCAATCCAAACAAGTCTAGATAATTTATGTGAAGCTTGTACAGTATTATCAAGATTTCAACCCTCCATTACGTGACGAATGGTAGTAAATTTCATACTGAGACACCCCCTGTATCATTATTAGTTACAATAACTAACAGTCCATCATAGGTTCAGATAACAGTTATGCATTGTTATGTATTGTACTATACTATACTATACTATGTATTTTACATGAATTCTTATTTTGAAAGAGCAATTCCAGAAGACGGAATCCCGGTCTATCCTAAAGAAAATTGTTGATAGATTTATGTATCATCAAAACAGATTTTTATAATTCCATTTGATGTGACATTAGCAGACGTTCTTTTGATTTTGCTGTTCTTAATCAAACAACTGATCATGATCGTCAAGACAATTTTTACGAAACATAGAAAACATGTGCTCTCAAAGCGACGCCCGACCTTAGAGCGATAAGCGACCCCATGTTAATATAAATTGACGGATATTTAATAATTTCACACTATATGATAAACGATGATATAATATCTACTACACACTTTACAATACATGGATTATCAGTTGTTATACATAGAAATATAGGAATGGCGTCGATAAACATAGGTCAATATTGAACTTCCTGCTGGCTACATTAAAATTTCCGAATTCAAATATCCAGCCACGAATTAAAGAGTTTGCATGAATTTAGGGGGCGACTGGCTTAATGAGATAAATGTCACCAAGGTAGCCCCTATTCTAGTTATTATTAATATTATTTCCAACCTCTTGAAAGTTATTGGATTGTACCCATTTTAAAGACGAATCATTATTAGGAATTGTAGGGTGTGAAATTGCGGTAAAGCAAATTGTACGAAAGCACAGGCACAGGCATGTCTCCAAGACAATGCCCTCAAAATATTATAGAATATATCAATTGCACTATGTAGTAGACTAACTTAAAACCATAAACTTGAAGTGCATTACACACCTTACTATAGAAGTGCAACACTTGATATACATTGAAAAAAGTATTATTCTTTGTCCATCAGATTTGAGACCACCTTGAAAGAATATTTAAAACATATAAAATTTTATAAGTTTTTAATGTGTCTAATAAGAATACCACACAAATACCTCCAATATTAAATTGTTTTTGAAACAATTTAAAATCTATAAAATATTTATAATCATGTTCAGTATTATAGTTATTAATCCTTTTCTCATACAAACTGGCAATTATTGGCGTCAAATACGAGATTTAATAATTCTCTAGTAATTCTTGACGTCGTTAAAACATTAACATGGAATATTTCAAAGACATCCTCGATAAGTTATGGAGTAAATTAAATATTTTATGATATTTTAATGTGTTTATTTATATTGTAGTAGATTATATAGAGTAACTAAAATCAATCCGATAATATCGATTTGAGATCAGTATTGATTGGGTCAACTTGACAGTATCTTAGAAATTGGAATTATGCCTACCGGACAAGGGGAAGTGTAGCCTACCATCAATAAATCTTTTCTCGTGCAATAATGTGTTTTATTTTATTTTGATGTAAATTTTGTTTTTAATTAATTCAGTAATTTGACTATACTTTTTATCACAATTTGTTAGTCGCTTGCAAACTTGAATTCTTAGTTGGCTCTTAAGTGTCTATTGTTGTTTTGCTCAATTTTTTGCCAACCGATCTGGTTTAATTTTGAACTAACTTCAAATATTAGATAAAGGAGAAAATGTACTTACAATGTGAAAATGTTCTTTGGTCATTCATTAAAGGATCATCTATAAATTCTCGTTGTTCGGGTCTGAAATTAAAACAAAACGAAACATTAATCTTAAATGTATGCAAACCCAAAACTGTTGGTTTGTATATTTGGCATTGATAAATTTAACAGGGATTGCCAGTAAACCAATCTTGAAAAACATTTGATATTCTCTCGATGCCCAACATAATAAACCTCTATTGCCATATTGAATTGCATTATAGGCCCCTGTCCCTACATGTCTGTGTATGTATACAAATATTACTAAAAGATGATTACTTAATAAAAGGGAATAGAACACTCCTGGACAATTATTTACTCTAGAATTGTACTTATATTGTCCACAAATATTCCTTTGATCAAATTAAGAGACGAAATTCTTAATTAAAAAGGCCACTACTGATGTATTGGATTGCATAAAAGCTACATCATGTCAAATTATACGTATCTCTAAAACCATCAAAATGTAGATATGATTTATGTTTTCAACAGAGATGAGATCATTATTTGAGGACTTCTCAAATGACAGAAATGTCTTTAATGATAGTGACTAGTCATGTTAAAGGATAACTTGCTAATCCTTAAAAATCCTTAAAAAACTACAAGACACTTCTACCAGTCTTCACAACATTTCATTATGGTTTTAAAGATAAATAAGATGTCAGAATCACAAAAACTGGGTGAAATTTTACCCCGAGAAAATTAAAACCGACCCTGTATCACATAACGCCAGCTTAATCCACAGTCAAAAGTAATTTCATATAATTTCATATAAAATTTCGTTTTGATGTTTTTTATTCCAAAACTTGCTAAAACCGAACTGATTAAAATTTGGGATTTTGAAATTGATTTTGTACGTTGAAATAAAGAAGATAAGAGTATTGTATTGTGGTTAAATTATATGTCATTATTTAGGAAATATATATGATTAAGCCTCCATTAAGCTGTCTCTATCTACCTGTCATCGCTACCGAGACACGAAAAGATACCTTACAAAAATCTTTCTTGTCGTGAAATCAAGCGGAAACGAAACGAAACTAAAAGATACTTGCGTTTATTTTCAACAGTTCACTTAACTCTGTCAAGACTTCATTAAAATGCAATAAAATTTGTCAAATTAAAATGAATGTTGAGGTTTAATTTGAGGAGACTAACAAGATTAAGACATTTTAAGGTTTCAACAAATTAAATAATTACAAGGGACATCACTCACCTTTCTTTGGCATCTAAAAAGGCTTTGGCAAATGGATTATGTTTGATTTTTAAAGATGTTATCTGAAAGCAAAATACAAAATTAAAATCTTCTGAAATGAGCAAAAAAATTCTTATTGTTTCAGACAATAATATAAGAAAACTTTGAATGAAATGGCAAAATATACATGTAATAATTATGCATAGATTGATGCAAACCTATGAATAAAAGTTGCAGTGTAGACACTGGTAATCTTCCAATAACGCCTTGTAGCCTTAATGTACGTACGGCTGGCAGTACAACAGAAAAAAAATCTTAGAACTTACCTCTTCATTTTGGTAAGCTGTGACTGCAATGAATTGTGTTTCAGGGAAGCTAAATGTCATGATACTTTTTTTCTGTGTTCTGGAGTTGACTCTAACGATATGAATTCTTGGTTCGTATTTATGAAGGGAATTTAACATAATCTGAAAGTAAAGAAATATAATTATGTATATTATATAAATAAAAATAAATAATAAAAGAATTGTGATAAAAAATATAAACATATGAATTTGATAAATAAATTTGAAAAATTAAGTATATTCTATAAACGAAATTGAGATGAAAAACAAACTCCACAAAATGAACAAAGCTCTACCATTAAGTAGAATCTAGGCCATATGTTGCCGTTTAGTTTTGAAGGACCCTTAAACAAATTAACCTTGTCAACAAATATAGGGGCCAGTGAACGGAAACTAATTCGAAAAATTGAAATAAAAAACTTTCAAAAAAGTACCGCATGTCATACAAGTGTTTGAGTACATAGTGACTGAGACTCTCAATTCAATTAGGGCATAATGACTAGGTGGACCACAGGACTTAAAATTATCCCTAAAATTAACTCGAAATATGATAGTATTAAGAAGAAAAATAGAATAATTAAAAAGGCATACTTGAAAAAAATTGGTCAAAGCAAATGATGTTATCTAGGCGATGTTTAGAGAAAAGGGATTCGGTTGGGTTCTTATTAACAATACTGTTATATGCTTAGTTATTATAGACCCCAATGTCGAACACTTGTCTTTATTCAGGTAGTTTCAACTTGGACATCAAAGAGAGAAGTAACCAATGAAAAACCAGTAAAACGGTGTATATGAGTTATAAGTGGGGTATATTGATAAAATAACGACTGTACAAGTGGGCCGTTATCAATAAATATGGCCTCAGAACACGTTACTTATTAACTTTCTTTTCTATATATTATTACACTTTCGTTAACCAGATAGTGAATAATGCATCTTGGTGAAATTATAATGTCCAAGATAATTGACCTCAAATTGTAAAAAAAGATTTCCATAGGGAATTGGGATTGGGATTTTGAAATGCTGGGGCAACTTCTCAAGACAACCAAACAATTAATAAGTTGAATTAAGCAAGAAAATGAATTGAGTAAATTTATAATAAAAATAGAAGTTATATCGACTTTATAACCTGTATATCAATATTAGATAAAAGGCTTGGAATTTACTGAAGTAGAGAGTCAACACTTGGCAAATGAGATTAATGGGATTACAATAGGCTTTTGGAGAGTTCCCATTTTCTGATCTTAGAAACTATAAAATAAAATTGCAATTATGAAAACGTTGTATGTGTTAAACCTTATAGAAAAGACCAATATTGATCTATTCAGATCCGGCATTCTATATTCCAATTGACCGACAGAAAATTGGTCATCATTGCAAATGCCTGAAGATGTCTGCTAAGTGTTCAAGTATTTTAAAAAATTATCAATTGTATCCGTTTTAGATGGTCACTTGTAACCTTGACACAATGGCAGTTTTAGTTAGTCGAAATGGATCACTCGGACAAATCTTAAAAACAAATTTGATTGAATGAAACAGATTGTGCATGGCATACCGGCAGTTTTACCAGAATGGATAACTTGGTCAAAGTTCAAAACAATTTATTTGATCCATGTATAGTTCAGTCTCTAATGCTAAAGCATCTACTGGACATTATTCTCATAAAATCAATTACAGAATCATTGTTTATCTTGCCACATAAACACTAACGAGTAGATTAACTAATATTGGTGGATTGACCATCGAATAACGAAGACAGCCATGTTTGAGATGATGTAAGAATTTCCTACTTTAGTCAGTTTTCATGTCGGTTTAACTCTCAGTTATACAGGGTTGAACGATTTAACGGTTTATTCTAACTCCATAAACCACGTTCAACTAATATCCAACATATTTGACCGAGGTGAAAATTTAACTTGGTTCGACATAACTTTAGTTTTTATTGACTTTTGACTAATAGTTAGTGTTATATTCAATTTGAGCTGTTTTTCTTGTTTTAACGCTTCTCTACTTGGTGTGAAAATTACAGATTCAAACTTGTTCAGATTTGTGTTGTATTTTATACGTTGAGTCATATCACAATTTCGACCTCATAATCTAACATGCAGCGAATTGACCAGACTGATATCAAACTAAGTTTGAAATTAAACAAATAAGAATTTAGCGATGCTTGTCAATATGAATATATATGCATATAGATGAATCTGGTAATCTTGGCAGATTGAGATATGCCACAATAGAAGGCTATCAACACACAATGTATTTAAAACGATTCCAACTAAGGCTATCATTGCCATAAAATAAATCAAAATTTGAATTCGAGTTCTAAAGTCTTAACCAAATAAGGGCGAAATTAGAAAGTGCCAGTCACTTGGATTCAAAATTCAAAACTGACCAATGAGAAGCATATCAGTTTTCTGTTCTATCAGTTAGTTATTTTATAAGAAATATTTGATTAATCCATACGGAAATCATTGTCCATTGTGAATTGTTCTAGAGTTGTGGCGTTCGTCAACAAAAAAGTGTCCACCATATACAACCATATCAGTGAAAAGTGTATTTTTACAAGCAAAACCTGTAGTTTTTTCTCATTCCTCTGATATCTTTTTGCCGATTTTGTTGACAAATGATAACCCTAGGTGTCTCGGTGGAATTTCACTAACGTAAAGCGTGGACACCAGTTTGACCGCAAAGCCATGGCCAACATAAACTAACAAATTGTTGGTGGGTCATTGAGGTACATTTGAAAATATCACGAGAGTTTAGGAAACACAATTTCAAAAATCATTTAAGGAGGCGAGAATCAAGGGTGAATATTCTGTTTAAAAAACTCTTGACAATTAAAAATATTGCTTAGTAAGTCAGCATTCTCATTGAAAATTGATAGAAATTTATCTGTTGAAGAATAGGAAGAATTCTTATGATTGACCTTAGGGAATCACATTTCGCCTCTGTCTTCACAATTAATTTTTGAAATTCACACATTATTTTGACTCGCACTGACAATCTCAAGGAAACCTATTTTCTATGAATGAAAAATTTAAATTTAGAAGCTTACTTTAAAATAAATATTAATTTAATAAAATATACTAGAACTATAAAGCCCTGGTATGACGTGGCCCAGTTTTTAAATATTGAATTTAAAGGGTTGAAATAGAAAGTAAACCTAACTCTTTATACCGACATTTTTACCTTTGTCATCCTTTCAATAAAATATTCTGTTATTTGTGTATAAAAATTTAATGAATGCAGCTGAAAGAAGAGCTGAGTAAAATCTTTTAACTGTGATTACAAATTAATGATCGCTTTGATTTTGCATATTATCCCAGATCAAAGGTTTGAAATTTTGAAACATTTTTTTTATATAAGAAATAAGGATGATGTGTATGTAAACTCCCATTTTAAATTTCATCAAAGATATACGTTTGAGATTCCAGTCAAGATAGACTGCAGAGGCTCTTCTCCAATTTTTATGCCTATTTTCATGATTTTTTAGCCTAGTTTATCCTTGTGATGTCAAATTCCCGAAAGAAAACATCAACAGACACAGGTGAAATAAACAGATTGTGTAATATTTGCACATGAAATGCACGATGAAATGTAATCGATTTTGCCACCTGATATTTTAATTTAAATGTTATTGATCGAGTCTACTCTATAAATAGACATGAATATCAAGTCAGTAATCAATACGAGGTTTTTTTTACTGACGTGTGGAAATCGATCGTTGAGCTTATTTTTACAATTAAAACCAAACAATATCGACTATAGTAAATTGTCTTTCGTTTTCATTTTTATGCAAAAATTTTCATGAACCGATCTCTTTAAAAATTAATAATATTTTCGGTAAACGAAATTTTTTTTAAAATTAGCATTTAAACTGGCAAAGAAGATGCATTCTTTGATTTACCATTGGTTCTGTGAAAGCCAATTTATCAAATTAGCATCTAACACCCCGTCTCTGTTAAAACAACAAAACCAAATTAATTCGTTCACACTACGAGTCTTTCGTTTTTATAAATAATTGTGATGCCAATGCTGCTAATTATTTTCTAACCTCTTTTAAATTCCTGTGAATCATGAATATTAAGTTCAAACAAATCTACTATTAAAATATTAATTTAAAGAACATTGAAAGGAACGCAAAACTAATTCCGCTTAGAATTTTAAACTTTCTCTCTGAAATTGATTCAATTTAATCATCACAAAATTTCTAAATGTCCCTCTGAAGTCAAACAGCGTATGACATAATCTAAACCGCAAATATCCATGAATCATTATGTCGTTTTTTTTTTTTTTATATTTTCGTCATTTTTTAGATTATGTACGTAATCCTTCAGTGGGTCTCTTGCTCGTGCAATTGGTACCAATAGAAACATGGCGGAAATATCTATTCATAATAAACTCACTTCCGACCAGTCAATATACGTAATTTGTACTGATATACCCTGCTTGTTTACGGAAAATACATGACTTAATATTTTCAAACGAGTACACTTCTATTCTGTTTGTTTGCTCTTTTTACTCTTTTGAATAGACTAACACGATATATTTTTCAATATTTTTGATTGACAATGGATTAACAAAGTTACATGATAAAATTTCATCGACAATTTCAATTTTAAATTGATTTATAAAATTTGTTGTTTGAAAATATCTATGTACAATTTTATCTACAAGAATATTGGAATATTTTCATCAATAAATAAATAAACTTATTTTGTACACTGTTTTTGATTTGTGAATTAATTCAAATTTCGTTTTCGGTCTGTAATGCTGTAATGTATATAAATAAAAGAGTTTCTTACCTGTCCGCCACCATTTAATTTATTCGTCAATTTCACTTTACTGAATGATAAAGGCTCTTTCATCCAATGCGCTCCAAAATTAGGGGAATCGGGGTGGATATATACACAGTTAGGGGCAGCTGGTTCAGCCTTGCCGCCGGGCACCCAGTCTCCGTTCACATACTTCCATCGGTGGTTATCAACTTGTACGAAATCCAAGAGTAAGGTGTACATGGCGTTAGGATCCACTCCTGATACAGAGACTCTAAACACTGGAAACATTCGCCTGAAAATACAAAATGATTTATAATAAATTTTCATATTTTTTTCACAATTTTTCAATTTGAAAATATATTAAAAAAGATAAAATTGCCGAAAAGTATATCAACGTCTAAATTCGTTGTGCACTTCTGAAAAAAATTACAAGATATCAAAATAATATGTAAATTTTAAAAATAATTCTAAAACATTTATTATACACGATAAATATATTTTTCGAATGTAATTAGTCTAGATTTGTAAATATAATAACAGCAATTAACAAATATTGATTTTTTAAACATTTTTTGATGTTCTATGATGCACATGTAATGATTATGTTTATGGTAATTTTTGAAATTCAAATTAAAAATCAGACTTGTTACATTTTTAATTATGCAATCAAATACATAACTTATGTAACTTCTGAGAGATAATATCTATATTATAACATATGTTTTTTCACAGTGATTGCTCAACTGCACAAATTAACTCATTTTTTCCAAATCATTGCATTTTTAACTGTGCTTTTTTCAATAAAAAAAAGTAACATTGTATAACATTCAAATTAACCCTAATCATATGCAAATTTATTCAATATTATCAATATAAAATACCAATATTTGCAAATATCTATATAAATATCTAATGCTTTTCATGCACATCATTTGCGTCAATTTTTAGAATATAAATATACGTTTTTCTTTTGCTCAGTAACATCATTTAACAATATTATTTTGTATATCATTCTGTATAATTTTGTATTTATGTATATCATTTGTATTCAATTGTATCCCTGAAAATATTTATTTATATCTATGTGTGTGTTTTTTTTGTATACATTTTTATCATTCTGTATAATTTTGTATAAATGTGTATCATTTGTATTCAATTATATCCCTGAACATATTTATTTGTATCTATATTTGAGTTATTTTGTACACATTTGTATCATTATGTATAATTTTCTTTTATGTGTATCATTTGGTATAATTAATTTTGTATCTGCATAATTTGTATCTTACGATTTATAGATGTATATATATATTCACGTATTATTTTGTATCTATAAAAGTATCCCCATGCAATATTCTGTATCCAAATTATCATTGTGTCTGTGTGCCAGACTATATAACTAAACAATGTAAATGGAAACATTTTGGTAAAATCAGTGTTTACATCGTCAATAATAAGATGTGAATGTATTTAAAAATTACCAATTATTTATTCTTTCCCGTTAATCCATGTCCTTGTTTACTTTACAGTTGGTTTATATTTTGTAGGTTTAGACTAAAATCCAGATTGAGCCATTGTATGATGATGTAAATTGTTAATTCCATCCAATTTTTAAGCAGATCTCTTTATCTGTGACCGCGATCAGTTCTGTACATGGGAGTTTTTATGAATTTCTTCACTCTGAATATTGTATTGTTTTTTACCGTGTAAAGTAAATACTCGTGATTTTTTGTGATAACGTTCAGTGTAAATGTTATATCACAAACAAGATATGTTGCAGCTTATGGTTATTCAATATTCTAATATTTCAAGAAACCCAAGCTGCAGATTTAAATTGCAATAAGTACCTAAAAGACTAATAAAATGGATAATAGTACAGACCATCTTGAAACTTTGATAAACATTTTGAATTTTGTTTTCAAGCATGCTCTACACATTTATCCTTGCTACAATATCCTACTTTTACAGTCGGTTCAAAGTTCAAATGACCACCAGATTAACCCAAATCTCCTTTTAATCCAAAAACACTGTGAACAAATTTGGTGTTATTTGATTTGTGCTAGATCGATGGATGAGATATTGGGCTGTATTTGTTTAGTTTGAATAGATCGATAGTAAGTTAATGAAGGGAGGCGAGGTAGTAATTTAAATAATGATATAGTTTTAATCACGAGGTATTAAAGAAAATAATGTTAAAATGTGTATATTAACATTTTAATAACCGCCAGTTTAGTGTTTTATCACCCACCACCCGTGTCACAGTGCTGTAGGTAGACCGACCTTTATTGCTCTAAGATAGGCATCGGCTATAGACGGCCATATTGAATAGCCCTTCAACTAAACGTTTTAATATCCTTTTTAATTGAAGAGTGATAATAGTGGGAATCGTAAAATTTCAACCTAAATAAAGAAAGAAACGATAAAATAATGATCTCAGCGGCTCAAATTTCATACCACATCGTAGGTTTATGGTCCTTTTTGTTCAAAAACCGTAAAAAGAGTAAAGGAAGAAGCTATAAATTTGATGTCGAAACTATATTTATGAAATAAATTTGAATATTTTCATAGCAGACAAAATATCAAACACTTTACAATAATAGTATTTCATGTTCTATTTTTCAATACATTTTGTCAAAATCTTGAAATTCGACGCCTAATTTATTAACATTCCGAGGTAACGGTTTGAAGATTTCAGACTATTTATTTTAGTTTTCTATCAATTCAATAAAAATGTAATTAATTGTATATAAAGAAATTGTCACGGATAGTTATCATGTCGGTTTTGGCACATTTGATAAGATAATTTCTATGTTAAATAATAAGAGGCCTGAACTGAATATCTTTATTTTATTAACAATACCAATGATTTACTGGGTTTCGATTTTTCTGTTTCATATTCATATTTACAGATTTACCTTCATAAATGTGTAAATGTGTCCGACTGTCTTGAAAACAGAAAACATGATGCCATTATTATCATGCCGAAAATTATTGAAACAACTTTTAGATCTTCTTATGTGCCTTCTATTACCTGTTTTAGTAATAGGGCGTATTTCAGTATTATTTTTAAAGTTATATATCGTAATATGCACTGTTGTTGTCTTGCACCTACTATTTCAGGCCTCGATATCAGTAACTCAGTCATTTCAAATATGTTGATAATATATTGCTTTTCAGTCCCGTATGTAAAAAAATTTACTATAAATTACATAGGATGTAAGTTAGACCATGTGTTCGTGAGTTTTTATAATCATTAAATCTATGGTAATAAAAGAAATGTTGATTTAAATAAAATTCTACATGTTCTTGATACCATATTCAATCCTTTCTCATAATTATTACCCAGTTTTTATATCACAATCTTGAGAAATAACACGTGTATACAATACGATGTTTTTATGATATTGAGAAGCCTGTTGTTTATTACCTATTGGATTTAGGTCATATAATTATAATGCACGTACATTGACCTAAATAAATAAAGTAGGTCGTGTGGAAACCAGACAGTATTGAGAATCACTGACGAATCAAACTAAACCCTAATTTACACTCTCGTTTCAAACTTTGTATGTAAAAAGGACAATAATTCAGGATCAATGATATATCAATCTATATTCAAACCCTAATTAATCTGTGTATGCAAAGAGGCCAATAATTCTCTGTTCAAATGAACCAACGTCACCAACTTGCAAGTGGCACAATAGCCGTTCTCTGTGGTCTGCATGGTTAGCCGATGTCATGTTGTCATAGTTAGATAGATAGCATGATTGTTAATGCCAGCCTTTAAACTTAAAATGATTATTTTGTAACTAATTTTGATTCTTTGATGTTATTATTGAAAAAATACTCCAATCAGCATTGAATATCAGATACTGAATTACAGTACATATCAGTTTAGTGTTATATCAAATCTTTTCAAACTACACATTTCTCTGCACATGGGCGAGATGACTCTACAATGACTTGACCAAAAATGTCAGATTAGTCAGATCTGTTGTAAAAGAGGGGAGGATATTCTCTGATTTTTAACTAACAAGTATTGTGGTTTAAAACAAAAACCCAGAAAAATCTCCAACTGTTTTGAAGTTTGATAAAAACGTTATTTCATTCATGTGGTTTATAAATAGTTAGATATAACTATAAGTATGACAATGTCTATTGTTTTCTTTCTATTTATTTGGTCTTTTCATTCCATTTTCTTTTAATTTAAAGCTGCACAAATTGCACCACATCAACTCTTACATGCATCACAATAGACGTATTTACTGTGTTTTATACAATTTCTGAATGTTTGTGGTTTATAGAAATAATTGGTTTTTATGAGTTATTTATTTAAAAAAATTAGTAATATTCAAAAAATAACGTCATAGTTTATTATTTGATTACATGCCAATGTAAGTGATTGAAGATTTTTCAATAACATATTTATTCCATTAAATTAACATTTAATTTCTATAAAATTTATCAAAAAATAATCAACAATAAATGTACTTTGTGGTCATTATAACCAGTTGTTTCAATGGCGGAAACTGGACATGATTTTGTGGTAAAAACATGCTAGTTTAAATATAAAATGGATCAAAAGAAAGCAAGCATTGTGGGTGACCTAATTTACGTTATGCTTTATTTAACTTATATATCAGTCTTTATCTTGTATCTTGGGCCCTTATAGTATTAATTCATATTCTCGACTAAAGCTAACATAATTAAAAATGCTACAGTTGGAGGTTTGTCAAAAATTCCAATGCAGAAAATGCCGTAGAAGGTTGGAAGTGGAAATGGTAAACTGTAGCATAGGTTTTGATCATAAGCTAACGCTATTAGCAAATACATTACATTGTAACCTACTGTAAGAAAGGTCCACATGTCATATATTATGTCCTTTAACATATAAGTCTATCATTTGCTATCTTTGTGGATTATTACGGGTAAAATTAGAGAGAATGGATGTGTAGATATACTCTAGATATTAAATGATGTCGTGCTTATATTCTGCTCATTGAATGCTTTAATCATCGTGTTATGTTCCTGATCAAGTATGTTTCATGTCAGATATTTTAGCCCAAAAATATCTTTATTTTGAATAACAGTTGATGTTTATCTATGGTGAAGTTTTAAGTCCTAATGAAATTGGTGTCGTTTCAAGATCTAACTTCAGTATTTTAAACTGAGGTTTAGTCATTTACCAGCCAAATGAAGTTTTACATCCAAATGAATTGGTTCTCAGATCAGAATAAAGTATTTATAACTCAAGAAGATTTACAAGTATATCTATGTAATTTATGTAATGTACCAGACAAATTGTTGTGTCAATACTTAGCTCAGTGTTCACTTGACACTCTAGAACAATATCTGGATGTGAACATACATAAATTATCTCCCTTTTCTACCTCTTCAACATTTTCAACAAGTCTCGTTGGAGGTCTTCATACAAGATTTAGGCCAAATCCTTAACATGTTATATCTTCAATTTAAAGCATAAGATTATAATAAGAGAAGTAATCTATATCTCTGTATTTTTAATCGCGGTGCTGATTCAGCCAATATTCTATGGCTCTGTAGACTAATGTCAAAAAAGATTTTTAAGGGAGAGGAAAGAACCTCATCAATGTACCATCAGTTATTAAATTAACCATGAAAAGACGAGAATAGCCTGCCCCATACAGTTTTTTTTAAATACAAATTGTCTTTACATCTCTTATAAAACTCTATAATATACGAGATTATGTTATGAGTTATTATGCCTGTTTATGTAAAGTTGCTCGTAACTACTCGTAAATGGATGAAAAATTTTCCGGGTATATTGATACTCATGTAAAAAATGTCAATTGAAAAAATGATGAAGTCATCGGCTTTGTGACAGCCATGTTTCAAGTGAAATTTCAAATTAAGTGTTTAGATATGAACGTTTTAATCAATATACTTTGTGGATTAAGGGCACCTGTTGGATTGTATATGGACTCTCCATGGTGAGACATAAACGGTGTCATTCAGGGTCTTACTTTGAGGAAGAAAATTTGAAATTTCCACTCAAACAATTCGAGTCCAAGATGTCGGACGGTAATATTATTAACATAATGTAATTGAAGCATGAAAAAAAGAAAAGGTAGTTGAGACTCACCTGCCGTTCTTCGTAACGATCATTTCGTTCGTATATTCCTTAAATTTCTCCCATAACGGTCTGTCTTCCAATTTGACAGTCAATTGTCGCTCCGTGGGGTCACCTTTTTCACTCCCCATCGTCATCTCGGTATCGACGGCACTCAATAGATGGTTAATATCAACTTGATTGGATTTCATGTCGGTTAATTCAGGGCTCGTAGCACCACGATCGCCTGATAAATCACACGTTTGCGTCGAATCTAACATGGGAAACGAAGTGTCCACAAATACCGTGTTTTTCTCCAGTGTGACAGCAATAGTAGAATACAGAGGAGTAGGAACGTTCGTTACTATATAGCAAACTGACGAGGTTACATTTGTTTACAAACTTGTAATTCAAGTACCCTCGAATCATGGGACGTCTTCCCTTGTCTGTCACTTATCACTCCTGTATCGACCAATCAGGTGACGTTACAGTGAAGTAGGCGGGGCTTATTACAGTTGCGTTAACGCTGATTGGTCAAAACATCTAATTGAGAAATCCTCTACCTGAAAATAAACAAGATACAATTAAATCAATGTAAATCTTGAGTTTCTTGAATATTTATCAAATGTCACTTATTTTTACATTAAAAAACTCTTGAATATTTAGAGTGTTTCATAGACCGTGTCGAAAAGAATAATCTATTGAAAATAAATCAGAGGACTGCAGCTCGAGGAACGGGATGGGATTTGACAGGCTGAAGACTCAGTAGTTGACGGCGGGGGTAGAAACGTGAAGACAAGTCGGTAGCGGGGATCACTGCTATGAAATATGGTAGCATATTTCACTCTATGTAATTGTTATAATTCTAAACGCTGGTATTTACCCAAAACCTCGGTTTTCAGAAAGAAAAATAAAGATTTAGTAAAGATAATCTATTAACAAAACACCTAAATAGATCTACCGCAGTAAGAAATGAAACTGAAATATTGATATCGGTAGAAAAAAATCTTTTAAAAATAACTTGGCTTATTGTAGAATAAAATTTTGTAAAATCTGGTTTGATTTTCTTTCTACAGTTTTGGTAAGAATTTTAATGTTTTTCTTAAATGTTTAATATATCTAAAAATATGATTTCGAATCATCTACAATTCATTCCACTGTGACATGAATTTGGGATTTTTCCGTCATAGTATGGTTTATTTTGGTCACCAAAAATTGAAAATATTGCGGGTAATATACATTCTAAAATAGAAATTACTTCGATAAATATTTGTGTGTGCCAACGATTATTCTCTTTTTTCAGTCCACCCAAATAAAATAATTAGTACCATTACGTCTGTATAATTTGAGTTAATTTTAATTTCCAAACCAAATCAAGAGTTGAGATTATTTCTTACAGAGAATACAGGTAGCCAGAAATTGAGTTGAAATTTGATTGAGAAGACGATATATAGCTAAATAAACACACGGGGAGCAGAATAAGTAAAAAGATATTGTTACTGCAGTAGACTGGTTGTCTCCAATTATTTCTACCTTTTCTCTCCTAATTAACCCTAAAACTACCGCTTCAGATTAAAATAACATCCATTCAAAATAGATTAAAAAACAAAAGCAGCAAAGAAAATATTTTGTTTCTCAATAATTGGAAGTAAGTTGGGGTCAAATAGAACATCATTGTCACGTGCGGTTCGCGACATGGCGGCAAATCTCACGCTCCTCTAGCGAAGTTAAGAGACAAGACCTGGCACCTTTTCGTCATCTCAACCTTCTGTAGTTTAACAGAAAATTGTGAATATTGTCGAATTTTCACTTTTAATTGTTATTTATTTACTCAAATGTTGCTAAAATCAAAACAACCAATCTCGAAAATCACCACATTGACCGGATGTCAAAATCTTAAACTTAATAGGTTCAGATAGCTGCGGTTTAAACGTCACTGAATATGCTACTATAATAAAATAAAACGTAGGTACTATCATCGAATTATAAATAGGGTCGTGTTTTACAGATTCAACGTCAAACATTTAAAAACGATATGCCTGTCATAAATGTAGGACGTCCGACAAGTACAGTTGTTTATGTGACGGATTAGCATAAGACTAGCTTGTTTCCGAAACCCTATTTATATTCTGTAAAAATTATTTGTATAAAAAAAATAAGGTATTTTTAAATCGTTGTTTATGAATTAATATATAGGCTTAACAGAAAGTCGTTTTTTTTTTATTATTTTACTCTTTCTTACAATAACTTTTTAAATATACTTTTTTTTATTTTACATGGGTCAGAATTACATATACCTATATAAAATATCTTTTGTTAGATTTTTAGTAATATTTGAATCGGCTTCAAAATATAAATAGATATTGCTACCATAAAAAGGTAAAATAATTGTGTTTATGTGTCGAATAAGGTATTTCTGAAATCCACAATTAAACTACACATATAGCACCAAATCACAATTAAACTGCGACACCTATTGACGAGATATTTAATCTGATTACCTCGTTCTTAACCTGCAAATTGTTGATAGGATATTTGCCAAATTTAATTACAGGTCAAAGGTTAACAAGCATATTGTTTCTTAATTTAATGACATCGTACAATTTGTGTCGTGCAGGTTAAGTGTTTTATGTGTAATACGTCACTGAATATTGTGTATCGCTTTATAATTAATTATACAATACAAATTTCGTCAAATATTTCCCTGTGTCAGATCACCGTTTCTCAATGCGGAATATATTACCTGCACCTCAATCTATAAATTGATATTTTCATAAATCGATATAGAATATATTTTCAGGCATACATAGACTAGAATTTATAAGAACATCACATGTACATGATGAATATCCTAAATGGAAATTATCATATATATATTATATAGAAAAGATCGTAAATTTATACACTACACTACAGACAGATTTGATTCTAAATTACATCATAAAAACTTCAATTTTTGTTTCGTACAAAACGAGTGAAGCACTCAAATACGTTTATATATTCGATACATTCGTACTAAGTATAGCATAGACCACCATGCAGAAAGCCTTTTTTATTATAAAACATACATTTTGAATAAATTATAATATATAGCGGTATTTTGTTTATAGTCATTAAGATCAAAAACACCGACAATAAACAGGTAAACAATACAGGTGAACAAGGAATAATAAATGCATTAATTATAAATATGCTCTGGATAATTTCTGTTTCTTGTTAATAAACATTAAAATCGTGTTAGAGACTTCTAATATTGATCTACGATATTTTACCTTTAAAATACAACTGGATTTTTATTTTGCTTCGTTATTGATTTTATAATAGTCGTCGTCGTTAGTGGAAATAAGTACAGACTTGTGGAATGAAAAATTCACTTTAATCGAGACACAGAAAAGACAGACGTAAAATTGTTTTTTTTTTCAAAAGCTCAATAATATGAAGCAAATTATGACTCATTTCCAAACTTCGCAAGCCCAGTAAAGGGAAAATAATTTTCGACATAAAACTCAACTTTAGATATATAATTATTTGAAATAAGTATTTTTATTATACCCATAATGTCATATTCAGAAGATTTTTTTTACACGTATGTAGAGATTAAAACCAATTCATCAGTTCAAATCACATACACAGAATCACAATATAATAACATACATTAAATAGTGCATATACACAAACGCGATCATTTGAATTTCTATATTTTGTTATAAAATTGACATCTATTTGACATAGATTTGAGGTAATTCACATGTAAATAAATCAATAAACAAACCAATAAAACATTGTATATACTTACAACAGTGATATATTGTCTTAGTTTATATTCCAATTACCTCCCTTCCTGAAATAATTTCATCTGTTACATCTCTTATATCCTTTGATCTTTATCGCCATTTAATTCAATTAATTAATTTATTAATCGTCTAATTAATCAAAACATTTCGTTTCCAGATGTTAATTGTCACAAATTCGTTTAGATTTTAGAACTTCTGTGTTTAAAATCGCAGAACTTAATTTGTTAAGGGTATGTAAATTTTGAAAAATACTAAATTCAAATAAAAAGAAAATTATGAAATGGGGGAGTATATAAATATTGAAAAATAATATATTCTAAATTTGGATGAAAAGAAAATTTATGATATAAGAGTTATCTTTAAATCATTTTGAGAACTAAAAGAAAATGTTTAAAATACAATTTAGAAATTATCAATATTGTAAAGGTTATACGTTTACGATGTAGTAACAAATTTAAATCTTCTATACATACAGAAAAATACTGTGTCATTTTCAAGTTAGAGTAAGCCTTTATTTTTTTAAATATATTGCGAAAAATTTCACAAAACACGAGTAAGTTTGCTAATGTTAAATTATTAATAAGCTGACAAAAATTTTTGGACCATAAATTAACCATAGCCCTATTTTTCACAGCAATTTGAAAATTTTCGATAAAAAGCAATGACAAGCATATCAACCCTCAGTCGACCTCGGTATTGTAAACAAGCCACGCCCCCAGCAGGGAATTAAATACATCTGTTTAAAAAGCTGCATTATATTTTGATATTGGGCTCTTGTTATTTTCCTAGCACGTTCTCGTCAAATTTAAACAGAGAACTTTTATAATTTATAATAGTTTAACGGTTCATTTTTTTTAAGGTGATTTTTTTTTCTTCCGAAATTATTATTTATTTTCTTTACACACCATGACCTGTTACCTTCTCCTTTCTTCATAATTTTCATATTCATTTTCACCCTAACCATCATTAATTGACAAAGAAATGTAAAGAAAGAACTGATTAGCATTTAGGTTCTTAATTTTCTCATAATAGAAAAGGATACATTTAAATGTGTGCATTGAACATAGGCTACCCAAGAAACTATCATTTGTTTTTTTATTCATTGTATGTACAGTACCTAATATTTTTCGATCCCGACAGAGGAAAGGATAATACCTTTGGATCCAACCCGGTTACCCTGTGAAAGATGCAGATCAGAATTCTTTCATATGGGGCCCTCATTTTTGAAAATTCGTTAAATCATTATTAAGTAGTCCATAATTTAATGATGAGGATATAGTTCCCGAGTGAATTCCTAATATCATAAACATACTTTCAAAATTTTATTTGATTGCAAATTTCTGTTTTACTTTCGATTAGCCTAATAAAAATGTATGTCAGGCGTGCTTGAAGTGGTGCTAAATCGACAAAAATAAAGACAAGTCGAACGTAGACACGAGGTGGTTATTTAAAATAAACAGTAAAGTATCAATAGTTTTAACCAGTAA